AAAAGGAAAAGTCCACTCTGCGGAGGGAACTTCCCTGTGGCGCTCCCCCACCGCTCCCGAGTGCGGCGCTGCTGTGGGCGGGCGGGGCGCGTGGGGCGGGTGGGGGGCGCCCTCTAAACAACAGAACAAAAGTCAATTTAAGTCATTCCATATTTCTAATGGATGCCGCCTCCCCGGCCTTGTATTGGCGCCCCATCCCGCCGCCGGAGGGCAAGGCCGCCGACGCGCGGGTTATAGTCGATAGTATGATTTTGGCCTGTGAGTGCTCTAGTTTATGTGCACTTAAAACAAGAGCGTTTTTTTTTGGACCCATCACAGACTGTGTCCGGCGAGTACGTCGGGGGTGCATTTGCACGCGCACTCGGTACTCTCTGCGACCGCTCGTTATTTCGAGGCACCGCAGCCCTGACCGACCCACCCTTCCTCCGGGATGTGGTAAGCGCAAAGTAAGTGCGTTGGTTACGCGAGGAGACAAAGCGTGTATGTTTTTCGGCCGCGGTCCCGTACCGCGGGAGATATGAGTAAGTCAGACACCATTACGACAAGAGCAAGACAGACAGAAAGGGGGAGGGGGATGTCTGATGGTTGAGGGAACGGAGCGTCAGGGGGGGGGGGATAGAGCAAGGATCCCCTCCTGTTCGAACAAACTTATGGTGGAATTGTTTTGCATACATTTCCGTCAGTGACGCCGGGGCGGGGTGGAGCTCCCCTTCCACTGCCGAGCGGACCGCGGCAGGGGCTGCGGTGGCGTGGTAGTCGGCAGGAGTTAGTTAGCGGCAGCGAAATGACGGTGTAGCCCCAGTAACGCCAACCCCAGTAACATGAAATTTTCGTAAGACTGTCAAAAAGAGCTGTCGAAAACCAGATCGGTGCTTTGTCTGATGGAGGAACATCACTTTTAAACGCCCAGACCCCTGTGGAGTGGAAAAGAATGTGGGCGGATGCGGGCGAAACCGGGCGAGCGCGTGCCCCGTGCGGGCATAGCGCGTGCACAGGCCGTGCCCTGCCCAGGCCGGGCACTCCACGTGCGGCCTTACACGTGCACGGCCCAGGCGCTGCGCGGGCAGATTCGAGCGGGGTCACCCGCGTGTCGCACGGGGTCAGCCCAGGGGCGGTCGGAGCTGGGCGGCCTGCCTGCGTACTGCACGACGCGTGTTGCCTAAAGGTACTCGTGTCCGGGCATCAGGACGACCTCTTATAGGCGTTCCTGAGCCCACCAGACCTGGAGACTACTGAAAGGCTACTGTTTCTATTTTTTTTCTATCTTTTTTCTGACTTTTCTGATTTTTCGACGATCTTGTACTTGTACTTGACTTTGAAGACATACAGTGCGCTCCGATCCCTTCCACTGACGAGTGAACACGGATCGAATGTGGATATTATTTGCAAAGACAGCCGCTAGTAGCCCATAGGACGCTGCTATAGGCCGAACACCGCTGCTAAACTGAATGCATTGCCTGATGTTTACCTAAAAATCCACCACTAGGACGCTCCCAGCTCCCACTAGCAACAGAAAGCCGAATTATCCCATTGCTCACACTCAATCTTTCTGCTTGCAATGCTTTGCTGAACTGCGAGTGATTTAAATCTTTTGGACTAAACAATTGCAATTGCAAAGCGTTCTTTGCACCACGTAAAAGACTGCTAGGCTAGGATTGTGTCTATAGGACTGAAGCTACTAAAGCGAAAGCAAGTTTCTGTCGGCCGTAACCGACCGTAATACATTTGGTTTAAATAAATAGGTCGTATATGATTTAAAATCTGATTAAAATTATTATACAAAATAAGATATTCTCCACTCGGCCGGGTAGCACACATAGTGAGGGAGATGTCCCTGGTCCTTTTGTTTCGGCCCGCTCGCCCGCTCCATCGCCAATCTCCTCTGTTCATTGCGACTAGCCAGCTCCATCTGCTTTCTTTTGTTTTTAGTCGCATACATCTGCATTTGTCTTCGCGATTTTCCTATTGTCTCCGACCAGAGTGCCTTCTCTCGTTCTTTTCCTCATCCCCCCCTCTCTCCCTCTCTCTCCCCCCCCCTCTCTCTCTCTCTCCGCCTCTCTCTCTCCTCTTTCCTTGCACCATTCGCGATGGTGTCTCCTGCCCGACGACGGCACGTTGACGGGACGTCCCTAGCTCTCCTCCCTCTCCGTTTCTGTCTGTCTGTCTGTCTGTCTGTCTGTCCTATCTCAATGCGTCCGCCCCTCCCCCCTCCCTTCTCATTGGACGCCATTGCGACATGACTTGCTCTAGAAAGCCTGTTGCGCGCGATGAAGTATGAGGGGCGCTAGTTGTTCCACGCTTGAAAGTTTGCGTTAGGCTCTGCTCCTTTAGACTCTACAGCGCTGACCAGCGGGGCTGGTTTGGCCTCGCTGCTCTCCAGAGAGCAGCCGCCGGCCTGCCCTACTGGTGGCAGGGCGTGGCGGGGCAGTGATGGCGACTGAAACGACTTTGCCCCGCATTGAGACGTTTGTGGTCCGTGACGGTGACGTTATGTACTCGTGGCCTCCTCCTGCTCTCTCTCTCTCTCTCTCTCTCTCTCTCTCTCTCTCTCTCTCTCTGGCTCTCCCTGCTCTTTTCCCGCCTCTCTCTCCCTCCCTCTCCTGCTCATTTCCTCTGCCCCTCTCTCTGTCTCTCATTGTCAGACCGGTCGTTCTTTGGTCCTGACCTGTTCTGCCCGCCAGCGGCAGGACGTGGACAGCCCCTAATAGCCACCCTGATTATACTCCCTCCAGCTCCGCTTCCACCATTCTCTCGTACTCCAATCTGACTGTGCTTTGTCGTGCGCTGTGTTTTGTCACAAGCAGAGATGGGAGTTGTACAATTTTTGTAAATGCGGCAAAGAGTTGCTCGCGCGGGCGGGAGGGTGTGCGGTGACTCGAGGAGGTCCGCAGAGAAGGGGCCGGGCAAGGTGGTGGGGAAGGTGAGGAGGAGTCGGGTGG